CGAAATCTTCCATTTAGTTAAAGTTAGGTTATGAACTCAGTTAGGGTAGGATTTAGTATCACCTTGCAGAATGGGTGATTCGCCTTAACGTCACTTCGTAACGAGCATCTTCCCTACGATAGTGGAGACCGCGGGCGACTAGTCTTAGAAGCAAGGCAACGTGTAGTACGAGGGCTTATGCATGCGCAAATATTTCCAATGACGGCAAAAATGTGGATGTGAAAATAATGATTCTCGCTGTTATGACGATAACCCACTGAGTAATGTGAGTCGGCGAAAACCTGCAGGTCATTTGCGCCAGCCCGAAATCTAGCAGTGTCAATAATTTCACCACAAAGTGTAAACTATGATAGGCATGGGAATCAAGATTTGCCGTCAACCTATCTGAATGCTTCAGGATTACTTTGAGTTGAATTTCTGCCAATTATTTGAGAGAATCGAGCACATGGATAATATTTGCTTTAATATAAAAATATTCCAATGACCCGCAAGCCGCCGCGAACGAAATCCAATATGACTTTGATTGGCTTTTTACAAGTGTATTTCATCCTCCACTACACGTTATACAACCAGTAGCATCATACCAGACTGTGGTTTCAATGACATGTTTTGTGGATGACAGTCACCTTTCCGATATTTCCATATGCATTTATGTCCTGTTATAGATGTACCAGGTTTTTAGCTTAAAACGTTTGACCACGGTAAAAAAAGGGGAAGAATGCTCGTCGCGTTGGGCACAGCAATTATTTTGGATGCTGGGTACATCGCAAACGCGAACCCATCCACCGGAACTTCGTCAAGCACTATTTTCTCAAGCGCCGGTATAAGTTCCCAAATTAACTTGAGCTTGTCTTGTGGGATAAGACAGGGTCTTATGCGCTGCGTTATATGTCGGTTCTACTTGTACGTCCAAATTTTAAAAAAATATCAAATTTAATGCTCGTCAATTCATGTACCAATGGCATATACACATGCTCTACGTGACAACAAGCTCCTAAAGAAATAAAGGCTGTTCTTAGGTAGTTTCGGTTTACTGCCCTTCTCAGGGCCATTGCATCGGTAGAATTCGAGTTAGAGTACTTGATAAAGCCTTTTTATGATGTCGGGCCTTCCATCGCATAAGTAATCAAATTCAGTCAATATGTGACCGTTAAATTCGATGCCAGTATATAACTTCCTAGTTTGCGGAAAACAGCTACGTTATAATTTCTCCTTCAATGCATACATATTAGAAGACGAGGTGGCGAGCATACGTAGATTTCAATAAATACTCGTCGGGCAAGCACAACTATATGGAAGGGGGTAGCACTAAACGCGTGAGTGATAAGATAAATCGATTAAAGTTTGCCTTAAAACACCGGCTGAGTGAGTCAATTTGGGAGAGGCGGAGCGGGTAATAGCAGTCAGCGTCAGGGGCGGAATGAGAGCGGTAGGGCCTGGGAGAGTTGTAGCGTTAGTCGACCTTAGACCACTATAGGCGCGGAGCCTGAACGTGGTTCTTCTGTGCGCACATGACTGGTTTTCGCAACCTGATGGTGGCCGCCTCTGTTGTTGCTAACAGGCGCTGTCCCAGTGGCTTAGGATAGTTCGATGGGACCATATGGATCACACGAAATGCTTCATTGGGGTCGACGTAATGTCCGGAGTCGACCACATGCGCGAGAAATGCGCTGCGTATGCTCTTAGTTTCGCCTTTGCCCAGCCATGCCGTATTTACTTGGATAAGCGCCGACTCGTGCGATTAATATAACCTACTCCATAGGAGCAAGTGAAGGAATAGATGCAAATTGAAGTGGTCTGGGGTGGCAACTTATCCTTACATTCTGCGGGTAAAATCGGGCTAGTAAAGAATGATATTTGAACCCTTGCTGCTGGGACGGTTCGCGAGACAGCTTGATCAAGGTGTCTCTTTAGGAGTTCACTTGCGGCGTCCACTTCAAAAGGGACTTTAAGGAACAGAGTTTTCTTTTCGGCCGACGGTGTGGCGGGCTTTATTGGTCGTTTGGCCATATTCTTTGCAATAAACCTGTCCGAGTACCTATTTTCACGATGGAAGTCCTGGATTTTTCTAAGTTCCTCCTCGATCCTATCTGTTGAGTAAACTTTTCTAGCTGTTTTCCCACGCATCGGACTAGATTTTGTATTTTGTCTGGTTATTCACGACAAATTAATTGGGAAAAGAGGATCGCTAAACAAGACGAAGTTTGTTTGCCTGGATGAGCTTGATAGCACAAATTTCTTGTGCGACTTGGCGTCTGGACTTTTTCCTCTGTTCATCCTCACACGCGGTTATAGGCACAGACATTATTCTTCGCAGCACTTATTTCATCTCTGTCATAAGTCGTATGCTTCGATGACCCTTAATCACAGTCTAATCACAACAAAACTGTATGTTTACCGTTCAGAAAATACGTATGTACTGCTTTCGAGAATCCACTAGGTTTTAGTAGAATCCAATAATCTCAAATGTCCCTGTAATCAAAGAGTGCCAGTAACGCGGTCTCTCTCCTACACCGCTCGCAGTCATTAGTTTCGCCTATCTGCGTTCAGCTTTTGGCATAAGTAAGAAATATACACCGAATATACAGGACGACTTTGGCAAAACATAACAAAAACAACTTCATACATCTGATTAGAACACTGTTTGCCTCACTCAGAAAATGCGTTTTTTTACGCCATCACCGGGTCGTTCACTTATCGGCGATGCTACCTGACGCGCGGGCTCGCTAGTCGAGACTGACCTGCGAATGAGGGGCTTATTGTCAGGCGTGACTGCCGGACGACACGACCTGTTCTGGACAGCCGGAAAAATTATACTTTTATTTACACATATGCGTATTTACGAGGATACGGCTCGAAGATGTCAGGTGGTGCGCGCGGTAATGTGCATGTGACCTAGTCTATAGAAGCTTAAATATATGTCGGGTGTTTACAAACTTCGTGGCGGATTACACTGGATGGTATCAGTAGCCATGCATGCTCCACTCTTTAACAAATAAACTTTACGTTTGCACGTATTCTACTTTAAACAACCGACAGTAGTGGTAATATCTAAGTGCACACAGGCACATGTCTTTCACCGGTATTCCGACGAAGTTTAAACATACTTATAATTGCTTTCTCGAATGGTTGTCGCATTGATTTTGACGAGTTGACTCCAGTTAATTTATAGTAACAGACAATTCAGCTCAGCGAAATTGGCCGAACCTGTGATTAGTTTTACAACGGTTTTTACTACCTACTCACGAGGAGTCTGTCAATAACCCAGCAGTTGGTGTTCGCGAAAACAGAACTACCTACTAAATGCAGTTAATCCATCATGAGCGGCTCACAGTGCAGAAAGCCGGTATACATTATATACAAGGAGATTTAAAAGACTTTTAGATGTAATACCACTGCCATTTATACACACAGTACAATGTTCTGTTTTCAACCTGTATCCATCTTATTTATCGTAAGTCCTTTTTTTCTACCGGCATCTAAACGACCAAGAAACTGGAAAAATTATAAGTTCTGAAAAGGTCAGCACAAATTTTGGGTTAGCTAGCATTTCTTTAGCTTACTAGCCGGTGTGTTGTTCTGCCCATAAAACTCCCAGTATCACCATTCGTTTGTGACACGAAACACAACCCATGGGCAGTTATTTGTGGTTCTTCAATTTTCCGTTGTCATTTTGTCAGTTAACAACCAAAGTAAATCTATGTAGATACTTTCGACAATGTATCTGTGTGTTCTCCTTCGTCACCTATGAACTCTCAGACTCCTTGGGACATTTTGACGGCTCTAGGGTTTATGCAACTTCTCGGCCACCTTTATGTGATCTCATGGAGAAAAATTGTGTTCTGTTTTTCCCGACTCGTGATCCACTCCACACCCTGGTTGACCGTTGGCGCTTTCAATAAGCACACTAAATGTCTACAAAAATCGGTTAGCGGCCGCCATCTGTCAGAACTTGCCAACAACTGCCGCATACAGGAAGTTCTGACACATAGAGTTTCCATTAGGTAAATAAGCTTCCTGGATATGAAAATTGTAAAGTAAAACATTTCGGCATAACGAAGATTTCCCTGTGCGTGGCTACTTAAATTTACATAGCGAAGTTAGTAAGCATTTCACAATTCCCAACGGCATTATTTTATGTTGTCATAAAGATAAAATATGCATTGAAAGCACCCTTTCGGATATTGAATGACGTCGTGGAGGCTGTCTAACAGCAATGTCGTCATTCGTGGGTTATTATAAAATCTGACTATCCTAAACACCTTCAGCTAATGCCCTAGAGCTGAATTGACAATGTTTCACTCAACAGCGCAATAGAGCATTTACTTAAATCACACATATGAATTGCACGTTTGTGTCAGTCGCAGGTGAGGGCCATCGCCGGATTGCACATATTTCGCAATTGTAATCGCTGACGCCGTTAAAATTATTTTAGCTCCAGCACGCATATTATAGTCACTGGACGATAATTGACCGGCCGAAGTAATCGGACAACGCATGTAAGACATATACCATGAAATATTCGAAGACTATCTACCAAAGGTAACGGTTAACTTAACTTTGCTTCCTCTGCAAATTCAAGTGGTTCTATAAAGGCAGACAATTTTGCAAAGAATATACCTAAATTGATTGCATCGGCATAAATACTTTTCAAATATTTCACTACCGAGATGTGAAGTCACATTCATAAGCTACTTTCTGGTGTCGCGCTGCCTCACATCACGCCTATTGATCTAAACCTAGTAGTATTTACATCTCTGTGGGCTTCAAATATTGCTTTCGAACAAATAATATAGTCAAGTTAATACAAGAATTATGGATATCTTACACTGTAAAGCGTAGCCGGAAAAGTTATTAAGGAATGAGAAAAACAAACGCTCATTATATGCTGCATTAATTCAACGATTCGTTATCTTCACCAGCAGACTGTGAAATATTTTACAAATGGGGCTCGTTGCATCTCGCGCGATTAGGCAAGTATGTTCAATCGCATGGATTAACTAAAGTTTCAGGGGTCTTGCGGAGTCAACAATCTTGGTTATTTCTTGCGCGTTTTGTAAATCCGGATTCGTGCATAATAGAACTGTCAAACATTTATTTTTAACACAGAAAATTCCAAACGTAAATGAATAGTTGGAGAATAAAATAAGCGTTGTCCACGTAAGAGTCTCATAACACGCGCTTGCACTAAAACACAAAAAAACATTTTGCGTTAAAACTGTAATGCCCTTGTAAATTATATACCGTTTTAATTTGCAATCTACGCGGTCGATTCAATGAAAATGATTTCGAATGTTTTCATCTAAAATTTGACAACTATCAACGTTTACGCAGTCAATAAATGGTACGCGTTTTTCACACAACGGTATTATAACCAAACACTCAGTCCAAATAAAAAACTCATCCCAACAGATATATTTAGGAATATGGAATTATTCGGGCAACAATAAAGTTTATTGTGTAAACTTTCAAGACTTGTTCCTCAGCTCGTCCTCAGACAACGGGCGAAAAATGCAATCATCGTATAGACCAAGTCTAACAAATGATTATAGGATTGGTTAACGTCATCTTATCGCAATTGGTTTGGTCAGTTTGAATCTGTCCTTAACGATTTTGTTTGTCACATCTAGGTCGATATGCCGGTTGATGCATGCCTCGTCTGGGTGCATTGGCTCCAAGAATTCGCGGCCCTTCTTAATTGGACAGGCGGTAACAATGCGAGTGTTTCCCCATGGAAATTTTTGTCCAGTTTACAAATTGCGCCTGGTCACCTGCGATAGATTGTGACGTCCCTTTACTGTTAAATGATGTTCATGTATACGGGTTGAGACTGATTTCCTGTTTTGGCCACTATATACGGCATCACGAAGAGAATATACAAAATCGTTAAGAACAGATTCAAACGGATCCAACCAATCCCGAGAAGATGACGTTAACCAAACCTAGAATCCTTTGTCAGACTCGATCCATAAGTTACTTGTTTTGCACGCCCGTTATCTGAAAACGAGCGGGGGAACCAGTCTTAAAAGGTTAACAATAAAGTTTACTGCCTCCCAAATATTCCTTATTTCCAATTATATCCCATCATGTAGATGGGTGTAAATGGTCCAAGCATTTCGGTTAGTTTTCATACGCTAATAGTCATGTATAAGATGCTGCCAGAATTTTAGTAGATCTCGGGGTACAGATTCAGACATGCTTTTGCTTTCGAAACACTTTGAGTTCATCACATATATTGCATAAAACTTACGAAAATTCAACTGAAAGGGGGTACTCTGGAACCAGCCCTACGCGCATGTTGCGGTACATTAAAGCGAAATTCTTTATCACCTAACATGCACGTTCGCAAGCAGTTCTTTAGGCCGGCGAACGCATTTCCTCCTTTTGGGTTCGAGAAGTATTTGGCTTCCGCGAACGCGACCTTCGGGATACTGAAGAAGGCGATATTTTCATGGGTGTTCTCCACTTTAACAAAAATGGCACTATGTATCAACCATTCTGGCGAGACAGAACAATACAATTAGAAAATAAACTAAACCATCTCGTACAAAATCATAAAGGCTTACGATTTGTCCATCCATCACATTTAAAAGTACATTTGTTGAAGGCGTCAAAGCTTCCGTTTATTCTCCGTATAGCAGTGGGTGGATCCTTTGTGTCTGAAGACAATGAAAACGCACTCGCGCAGCTACGCTCAGCTAAAATTGAAGGACAAATTCCCACGTAGTAATACAGCTATCAGCAAATTAAGATTGCAAATGAGTTATGGTATACTCTTGCACATTTGTGCATTAATTTGTCGGGTAAAGAGAGTGAATAACAAGAATTCTTGGATGCACGATGTGGCTGCTTACCCTTTTCAACAAAGTGACAAACCTGAACACACAGCACGTGTCTTTCGAAGTTCTCGCTATAGGCTTTCCGTCCAGATACCTTGTATGGAGTGCACGGCATTGCAGGTTTCTCACAAAAGTAGGCGGTCAAATCCTCAGTTAGGTTTTCTGGAAGAAAATCAGCTATTCCATATTTGCACTTAGTCCAATTTAGCATACGAATATGCGACACTAAGGAGACGTAACAAACGGTAGCGACGAACAGTCGAAACACAAATGTTAAGAAGACACAAACCTCGTCGTCTTGCACAGGCCAAACGGCAGTCCAAGAACTTAGCTTTATCCTCTGGCATGTAACGGATAGAGGTGCATTCTTTGTGTTCACTTTTGCAGATTTCAAAACTTTGCGGTCTCTCGATTGGGACCATGAATGAACACGCTGAAAGAAAAAAAGATCGAATTGAATGTTAGTTTCCATAATCGTAATCAGAGAAGTGTTTTTAATTTTTGATGCCATTTCTGGAAGAAGCCTGCCAAAAGCACACCATGTGCTTTAAAAAGATCAGTAAACACTTGGAGTTCTATTACAAAAGCGCAGCGTGTTTAAACTTGCGGGAGACAACAATTGCGGACATCAAAAGAACCCCAAGTAGATTTGTTGAAAATATTATCATCAGCCTATTCGGAACGAGGGAAACTCTTCAAACATGTGTGATTTAACACTATTTATACATTTGGAACGTGGGTGTCGCTACAATTCTATTGGCCCTAAACTAAGTTTGGCCACCGCCGTAGATTTCCGTTTATATGCACGCTCTTTTTTTCAAGGACGTTTACCGAATGCAAGCTGGCGTGGTCACCACAATAGTAAACAACAACTCATCGACACGACTTTAGTCTTTCTAGGTCAAGGGAAACCTTAGTTATGATATTTCCTGTTCTCGCCTTGTATTATCCTCCTGCCGTACCTCAATGTCTGCAATAAATTCCGATGGTATATTTAAATTTTACATTTTTAGCATTATATATCCACCCTTAAATTCAAATGCTGCCCGAAAACGACGACCGAAGTTCTGCTGAAGTAGGATAGATGCTAATTCTCAGATGTGTCTTTAATTTTATGAAGCCGCTCCAGGACGTAGCCTACCCAATACACATAAACAAGTCACGTTTAAAACCACGAGTTTTCAAAATAGCAGTAACCCTTTATAGGCTCATTGCAAACGCTTAGCGTGCTTAAACTTGGCCGACAAAACAATCACGGACGTCTAAAAGCCTCACGCAGGCTTGGCGAAAATACACTTATCAGCATATTCGGCACTGAGTGAAACCTGCCTAGCATATGTCATTTAACGTTATTTGTAAATTTGAAGTGTGGGTGCGGTTAAAATTGTATTGGCCTTAAACTTTAATTAGAGCACAGCCGTAGATTTCCGTGGTTACGAATACAGTAATTTTTGTGGTATCTTACGCAATATGAGCTGGAGTGGTCATTTGAATGACAAAAAACAACCTATTGGCACAGCCTATAACTTCCGATGTCAAGGAAGGCTTTAGTTATGGGTAATTTGTTCTTCTCTTCTATCTATATTCTTTCAGTCATCTAGGTCCTAAATAAATTCCGATGTTTTATGTAAACACTGAATTTACAATTATTTGTTCACACTAAAATTCAAATGCTTCTGGCAAGGACGAGCACAATTTTTACCAAAGTCAGATATATGCTAATCCTACGGCTAATGAGAAGTTCGTGACTCATTAATGTTATTTACAGTTACCTCAGAGAATTTTTTAGTTGTTGAAACGAGAGTTAAATCCACAATGCTACCAGCAAAATATAGAAGATTTTGAGAGCGCATGAAAGATGTATCTATGTCATCACGATCGACACATGAAGACTTCGCTCCAAGTGCAGGGAGATGATATCCTACAACGTACACACAAACAACACGGGGACAAGACAAGGTCGCGTAATACACGTGAACTTGCTATAAATGTGAGGACAGTTGAATAACATCATGTCTGATGCCTAAAATTAGCAGCCAGTAGCACACAATTTAAATGCGTGTCAATTCTAACCTAGACCCTTATCCCTAACTTTGTTAAAATTCCAACTCTAATCCTACCCTGGTTTCCCTCAAATTCAGTCTGATAATACCCCTCTTGCCTGTTTGTTTCAATTCCGAAACACATGTGCGGTTGCTATAAATATTACAGCAACAGATTATCATTATTACGTCCTGGCCCTAAAATTACAAATAGCCATAGCCAAAAATGTATTAAAATCAGATCTCTAAACGTTGCTCTAGCGCTTTCTCTGACTTGGCCCTGACACTGTACTCAACTAAAACCCTACCCTTGGCCTATGTCTGCTCTCCTTAGAATTTAGAACGATGCTGTACGCCTAACGGGGCTGTTTCAGTATTCGTTCATTTGAAAGTGCTAGTGACGTTTGCAATGACAGTTAAAGTAATCTAAATCGGGTAGACTATTGATTTCAACATCCATTGAACATAAGAGGGACATTCCTTAAAACCCGCCCCAAAACCATTTGTATTTATTGCAGAATAATAAATAATTAACAGTTAAAAACTCTCGATGAGAAACCGAGTAGATTCAGATACAGTGGCATCAGCTATCAGCGCGTAAGCAATTACCTCATACCAGATGACAATATCTCCGAAGATGGCAAATATCATATGTTGCCTATGTAGGTGATTATCAAGTCAATACGTTCCTAGTATAATCATGCAATTCCAAAATTTATCACTTCTACTTTGACTGTTTTTTCTTATATCCTACAGCACTGTGGGGCAGTTTATGTATGCACTCATATAGCAGAGGATACGGGATAGCATAGGACAGCTATATTGCCGCAGACGGCGTGCAAACCAACTTTGAATCCTTCTCTGTCTATGTTGCGTGGCATTTAAGGATTCGGTCCTTGTCTGGTTGCCGTGTTCCCTGTAGTCCAGCTATGAGCGCATGCATGGGGTAACCCTCGAATAATGTCGACAACCTGAAGTTCGCGCATAGTTCGGCTGCACAATGATTGCTAATGCACGCGCGGACTTGCCATGCGAGACTTTTTTGCGGACTAGGGGTCCATGCCAGGCTTGGCAACGCCGTGTTTTTAGCCGTCGTAACATTCATGCATTTGTTTACACTTGACATTGGCGGATATATGGGGCGAACATGTCGAATATTGTGGGCGTTACTGCACGTGTTACCAATTATATAGAAATGTAAAAACATTTCGACTATTTACGGTTCACGTAACTGACAACGCTGCTTGACACTCCCGGTCATGAACGTTTTCCTCTCTATATAATTAAATTTTAAATTCACACGTAACATGATTTTACCTATTGTGAGTAAAGGCACCAGCTTAAATCACACAAATCGTCCGCCAGTATTCCATCGCACCATGATACTCGTGTGGGTGATTTCGGCCCAATAATGCGTCGCCCAATTCTTCCGGTCAGCCTTCTGGTTGGTAATTATGTCTAAATTGTGAGCTCACCGTATAGTAATGCACCAACTTGGAGAAGGTCGTTTATATCAAATCTGTATAAATTCCCCCGAATCTGTGTAGGAACATTTTTGTCAGAATATGTCATCTTTACCAGGATAATCATATTTTCCTTTCGCATGCCTATTGTTTCTGCTGGTTAATTGTCATTTGCATGTACTATATCCAGTGGACTGGCTTAGCGAAATCGTAATAGCAGTCGACATTCAGTTGGAGTTATATCGGAGGAGTTAACGCCATGTTTTTAACCGTCGTAGCATTTATGCATTTGTTTAAACTGAACACTGGCGAATATACGGCTCGGGATTGTGAAATAATGTGGGCGTTACTGCACGTGTTGCCAATTATATAGAAATGTAAAAACATTTGGACTATTTACGGTTCACGTAACTGACAACGCTGTATGACATCCCTGGTCATGAATGTTTTCGTATCTATCTAATTAATTTTTAAATTCACACATAACATGGTTTAACCGATTGTGAGTAAAGGCACCAGCTAAAACCATACAAATAATCCCCAGTATTCCCTTGCAGAATAGTACACCTGTGGGATATTTCTGCTCATTTGTGCGTACCCCAATTTTTCCCCAGAGTCTTCCGATATGTCAGCTCACCGGATATTAATGCACCAACTTGGAGTACGTCGTTTATATCAAAGCTCTATAAATTCCCCGAATGTGTGCAGGAACATTTTTTGCCAGAGTCTGTCATCCTTAACGGGATAATCATATTTTCCTTCCGCACGCCTACTGCTTCTGTTGTTTTATTGTAATTTGCATGTACTATATCCAGTGGACTGTCTTAACGAAATCGATATAACAGTCGACATTCATTTGGAGTTATATCGGAGGAGAGATTACGTACGCCAAGACGGAACATGATATGGCGACCAAATTATGGTCTGTATGGAGGACCTTCATACAACGGCATCAAGGTGCGAACTACAGTGGCCAGTCCACAAGCGGGATGTACGGAACAATTTATGGTCATTAACGCACATTCCTCGCGAAGAATACAGAACTAAAATCAGTGAGGTACAAATGTCCAAACGAGAACGCAGCTTCATATGCGTAACTCCATTCCTATATCTGACATTCCTCCATTTTTCTTCTTGGCTGGTTGGTCGGAAGCAGAATAGATATTCGGCATTGGCATTAGGCGATGTTAAGCCCAAAGGGTCTTCCTGTCATTCGTTCACTGTAGCCCGTTGTACACAGTGTAAAAACATCGCAAAACCCCGAAAAATCAATAAAAAAAAATTTTACTTATCCTAAATGTCTAAAGGTCTTTAACTTATTTGCGTCATAAAACGCGTGTGTGGTGCATATGTTCACCCATATTGGTCGCCAACTGCTGATTGGGGATCCGAGTACGCTCTTAGAACAAGGAATCCGTGGTAACGTCTGCTTAGACAGTGGTGTTTCAAATAAGGTTACGTGCGATGCCTGTATCCTTGTGCGGATGTATCCGAGTAGGGTTCACGGACGCTGTCCATATTCTTTCCGTTATTGATAGTTTGACCTCATAATTCTTCTCCCTACGGTTTTAAACAATTTTTTGGTCCTCCGCTAGCTTTTTAGAATAGCTGATAACGACGCATTGAGTTCCAGTCTGGGAGATGGAATCTTAATATTCATTTTAAATTATGATAAATGAGAAAGTATATGACCTTGAAAAATCTTTGCAGTTGCACCTCGACGTACGCCCGATGACCAATATGTCATCCTTCAATCAACGATCTCAGGTATATTAGTAGGCATATCGTCCTTAATTTGCTGATATATGTTCGATGTCGTTTTAATGCCATAGTTCGGACGAGTTTACTTGCAAAAATCCCAATGCACATTAAGGATTGACATCTCCTGCATTGTCTCACAGACCACCGACTGTAAGTACACCTCTGAGACGTCAATCATTAGGAAAATGTTTGCAGCATTCAGATTCGTGCAAATGTGGTCCACCGTCTTCGGCGGGTAAGGATATCTCCTCACGTCCCGTTCAGTGAGGTGTAGTCAGCGCAAACTTGTATTTGTCGATTGGGTTTTTTCTCCTCTGCGACCAGATCAGTCCAAATTGAATATTCTGCTGGATGTATGATGTA